TGCACGACGGAAGAGCACGCAGGGACGGCAGGCGACATGCATCAAAAATTAGCCCACAATGAATGTGGGGAGCAAATCTCATTCACACGTCAGTCTGTTAAGTCAAACCTTAGCAGTCCTTAGCTGTCCTTAGGAAAGCAACGCGCGCAGTCCCTCAACACGACTGCCCTACGTTCAATGTGCACTGCAGCGTTGCGTGGGTGGGTTTATTCCTTGCCTTCACCTGTTTGTACCTTTGGTCTCTAACCCTGGAAAACAAACACAGCCAAAACAATCTTACAGCCCACGCGCATTCGGACATGACTGCATTCGCAATCGCAAAACACTCGCAACACGACACGCACTCAATCAGTCTCACTCTTGCAATCTCGCTTCCTAAACCTGGGCATTCCAAGCGGGCGTTTGGAACACATTGGCATCATCAGCATCATTGAGGTCACCACCGAACCAATCCCATTTCAAAGCCAGTTGGCGATGACCCCAACACCAGACTGTCTCAATCGAAACATACGTGATACGAATATCATCTCAACTCCATTTAGCATTCACTTTCACAATCTTCAACAAACCATTAGCAACCAGATCTTGCATGTACAAAAACCCTCAATCCAACATGCCTCATCTTCTTACCAACACCGAATCGACTTGCCAGTGCTATCAGCGTGCACCACAGGGTTCAGTTTCTTGGCCGCTCGACCATTCTGAAACACCTTCGCCTGAGCTCGATGCCAGATGTACCGTGGGTGCTAGATGTAGCCACAATAGAGCCACTCGCGCCTATTGCGTCCGGCCCAATCCGAGTCTACAAAAACATGGATGTCCGACGCACATTGACCATTAGCAATCTGGCTGTGAGGTCGCAATCTCAACACAGCCTTTCGTGTGCCACGTAAGTATCGCAAAAGATGCTTCAGTTTGGCCAAACTTTGCTCAGTCGGCGCAGTGACATCTCGACTCAATTCCTTAGTCGCACATGGAATATCGCCACGGTTCAGCGCTAGCCACGGTAGCTTTCCAACCGCAGTCCGGTAAAGGTTGTGAGCTTCTTTGCTCAGTGGCTCTTCACTAACTGTCCTACTGACAGTCACGGATCCAGCGATCTGGACACACTTTGCCTCCTGTGTTCCATCCAGATCGAGCAGGTTACCTATGTATGGTGGTGAGATTGACACATCAATGGAATCGCCATTGTGCTTCATTCTTCGACCTAGGAACCTGCGCTCACTTCCTTCAGTCCTCACTTTCAGAAGCACTCGTTTGGACAAATCCTTGATGAACACCTCGCATTTCCTTGCTACCAATGATCATCTAGTCATCAACATCGGTAAGGAGATGTCCGATTCATCACTCTCATGACCGCACAAGCTCGGATCACTCTTGCACCGTTTGCATGTCACTTCGTGCGTTACTTTGCGCATTACATAAGCAAAGCGTTCCTGCTACAATTTCGGGCGAGTGTCACAATCCGTACATTGCTCGCTTCAGTTTGCGAAGGCAATCGCCACTCGGAAAAACTCAAGGCGGTCAAACATAAATGTCCTCCGCAAGTAACGCTTGCAAAAAACGGTGCTCACATCGCAGAGTGAGACTCGCCAGCTTGTTGCCAATAACGTTGCAAGAAGTATTCTCAGTGTCACCAGTGACGGAGTCGAGGTGGACAACGCATCATCATCCATTTTTGCAGTCTTGGACACAGCCACTCGCAACGAAGTGACATCTCAATTCGGCGTCAATCTTCCGGACTTTCACCACTCAACGACCGTCCAGACCCTTTTCAATCAGGTCTTGGGAGCACTGAGCAGTAAGGAAACCAGAGTAGAGAGCGAATCTCTTCATCGATCCCGTTTCTTTCATCATTCCACCCAGAGATACGGCTCCGCCGCTCCGCCAGCCGCATTTCCTGCTCAAGTTCTCCAGGCTCTGCGTTCACGCACACTTCAACTTCATCGCCACTCTTAGCAACTGCCGCCTCAGCTCCAACAATGGACGACATGAAACGCAGTGAACACTCCAATTTCCAACAGTTGACAACCTAGCACGCTTTGAGCTTGCTCAGTCGCGGGAATGTCAGGATCAATCCGCTGTCGCTTAGCGGCAGTTTCACTTGCGGATCCTTCTGCATTCCGCTTCAGCTCTTCAAGGCTCGACAGACAGGGCATTGTCACAAGCTGCTGACTCAGGTTCTCGGGGTTCAGTCCCAACCTTCTCAAGCAGGTCCTCGAGAGTCATTCTCATCGACACGCTGTTCATGTTCGGGCAGTCCTGGAAGAGCACGAATTTTTCCAAAGCTACTGGTATCTTCACCCTTCAACTTCGGCTGGCATGGAACAGCAGTCAACTTGCCAAGCAATCTGAAACTCCACTGCCGAGACGCAGGTTTCTGCTCCAGTGAATGGACTTTGAACGCTCCTTCTGCAGCGCCGATGATCGACTCATCGGCCTCAGTGTCTTCGCCTAGCCAAATCCTTCTGAACTATTGAGGCGCAGCTTTGACACTCTGACATTGCTCTTCAAATTTCAACCACTTAGGACTTAGCACCAACAGTCCAAGCACGCACAGTGGACCTTGATAGCCCTTGTCCCATCGCCTTGCATAAGCAGTCTCGCCGTCGCTGCTTCACTGACCACACAAACACACGCACTTCTCCACACAAAGCGCGCTGCATGTGGCCAATGGACCACGGTGATTAAAGTGCCCTATTGGGACTCCTGGTGTGAGCCACCCGCACACCCAGGAGCAAAGATTACTTCTGCTGGTCACACTTGCAATGACTTGTGGGCTGCCAGGAACGCCGAAAAACATGTCCTGCGGAGCCTGTTTTGCAAGGCGGTTCACCCTCCCAGAATAGGTCTGGAGATCCATTTTTTAGACGGCGAACGCACTCCATAAGAAATCGTTCCAAACAAGAAATCACGGGCTGGCCAGACTGAAATTTCTCCAAGCTGAGCCGAATTTCTTATCGCTCCGGAAGCACTCTTTGACCTCCATATATGGCCCACTAATGGATTTCTACTAGAACCTATTAAATTCTGAGACCCCTACAGGAAAATCAGCACCTGCGGAGCATCCTGAAGATGTTTACGTTTAGCCTAACAGGTGAGACAGACGTGATCGTACGTTTTCAGGGTTGTTTTCCGAATCTGGCTGCGGCGTTTTGCGGCTTTTTCTAATATTGAATTGTCCTTTTTTCCGCGCAGGCAGAATCCGGACACGAAGGAAGAGTCCAGTAGGCGAGACAGGCGTGGTCGTACGTTTTCGGCAGCATTTTCCGCATCTGACTGCGGCGTTTTCGGAACGCGGGCTTTTTCTAATTCTAATATTGACTTCTTTTTCTCATACGAGCAGACTCCGGAAACGCAGGAAGAAGCTTCTAGTAAACGAGACAGACGTGGTTGTACGTTTTCAGCGGCATGTTCCGAATGTGTTTGAGGCATTTTCCGAATCTGGCTGCGGCGTTGTCTGAATGTTGCCGAGGCGTTTTCCGAATGTGTCCGCGGCGTCGTCTAACCGCGCCGGGCATTTTGTGAACGCGACGCCGAGGCTGCTGGAGCGGCTTAGCGTAAGGGCTGGAGGGCTCCAGGGCCTCCAGCCCCTCCAACCTCAGCCCCTCTTTTGCGCAAAGGTTGCAGCTGAGGAGACCCCTCCAAACACCTTTCGCCAGTCTTCAGCACCCGCAGTTGAACCTTTCAAAGGTCCTGGACAGGAAGGCTGGGGGCTGGAGGCCGAATTTCAAATTTGGAAGGGGTGGCTGGGGCGGCTCCAGCCTCCAGCCCCCCTGCAACCCTCCAGCCCCAGTTTTGCCTGAATTCTCATTTTTGAACCTCCTTTGGGGCCATATATGAAGGTCAGAGAATGCTTCCGAAGGCCATTCTCAATTTTGCGCAGGAGCGCGATTTTGAACGAAAGAACGACGAAATTTTGAGGATGCTCCGCACGGGAGCGCGATTTTCCTCAAAATTTTCTGGATGCTCCGCGCGGGAGCGCGATTTTTTCGTCAAAATTTTCAGGACGCATCGCGCGGGAGCGCCATTTTCTTCAAAATTTCGAGGGTGCTCCGCAAGGAAGTGCGATTTTCTTCAAAACAAGGCGACCTTGGGCGGAGCATTTTGGTCTAAAATTGGTATAGAACCCATCCCGTAAACGATCAAATTTTGAACGACGATGCCGACGAATCCTATACCAGTACCAAGTACCAATCCTATACCATAAAGCCCCACCAGATACCTCCCTCTTGAGCCCAGAAAGACACCTCGAACGACGTTCGTTTGGTATAGGATTCGTATAGAAACCCTCGACATCATCGTTCATAAGTAAGCAAAATTTTCCGAATGCTCCGCACAGGAGCGCAATTTTGATCGATTTTGATTGATGAGGATAAATCGACGAAATTTCAAGGATGTCTCGAGCGAGAGCACGATTTTTGAAGATACGAAGATGATCAAAACGTCAAAAAAATTGAATTGTCTTGCGCGGGAGCGCAATTTTTGAACACGCAAAATCTGGAATTTGGAGGATGTCCGGCACGGGAGCGCAAATCTGCAAAATCGAGGCGCGACCGGTTCGCGTCCGGACCCCTCTACCCAGAGCACTGTAAAGGCGATGTCTCCTATTTTGATCGAAAATCGATAAAATAAACCGATTTTTTGAGGATGTCTCGAGCGAGAGCGCGTTTTTGAGGCGAACAAGGGCACGTCCCAAATGTTTGCGCGACGGAAGAGCACGCGGATGTCGGCGGGGGACGTGCAGGAAAAACTAGAAGAACTCCACAGTGAATGTGGCGAAAAATCAATATTAGAAAAAGCCCGCGTTCGGAAAACGCCGCAGCCAGATTCGGAAAACCCTCAACCAGCTTCGGAAAACGCACGGCAAACGTTCGAGCACGTCCGTCTCGGCTACTACATCCTTCATGCTCCGTTTCCGGGTTCTGCCCGGACGAATCAGAATTTTTTGAAGTTCTTGCTGCAAACTAACCGTGAAGAGCCTAAGCCCTACGAAGCCCTACTCCCTACAAACCCTCCAAACCCCGAAACCCTAGAAAACATCAAAAACCCTAAAAACCCTAAAAACACTAAGCCCTGAAAACACTAAACCCTGAAAACCCTAAAACCTAAAAAACTCTAAACCCTGAAAACCCTAAACCCTAAAACCCTGAACCCTAAAACCCTAAACCCTAAAAACCACTAAACCCTAAACCCTAAAAAGCCCTAAACCCTAAAAACTAAACATTAAAAAAACTGTAAACTCTCTGCAAAAACACTACGCACCCAAAAAACCCTGGCCCTAAAAACCACCTACACTCAAAACCATTTCAAAAGCTGAAAAGCCAATGTAAGAACCCTAAAACCCAACTAAAAACTCTAAAAGCAATTTAAAAACTTTATAAGCCACCTAAAAACCCTAAGCCCTAAAAAAATCAACCCTAAAAACCATAAACTTTAACAAAACTCCTAAACCCTACAAGCACCCTAAACCCTGAAAACACCATAAATATTAAAACACCCTAAACCCAAAAAACGACCTAAACCTTAAAAACCCCTAAACCCTAAAAAATCTAAACCCCAAAAACACTAAACCCCAAGAACCCTAAACCTTTAAAACCTTAACCCTTAAAACCCTAAACCTTAAAACCCTAAGCCTTAAAACCCTAAACCTTAAAAACCCTAAACCCTAAAAATCCTAAACCCTAAAAAGCCGAAACCCTAAAAACTAACAACACCCTAAAGAACCCTAAGCCCTAAAAACCTTAAAACCACCTGAAAACCTTAAACCCGAAAAACCCACAAATCCTGAACCCTAAAAACCTCAAACCCTGAGAACCCTAAACCCTAAAAAGCCTAAACCCTCAATCATGCTTCTTCTTTGTCCGGGTGAGGCGGTAAGTTCTAATTTCCGACGTCCTGTTTTCTGTCTCCGATCCAGTAATTCTGTTTTCGGGACGAGGCAGCCCGTTTTTGAATAAAAGCCTTCTGTATGCTAGGTGCTTAGAATCAAACATCTTGTCAATTGTCATTGTTTGGGGAAGCAAGTTGGTTTCCACCCAGCTGTTTCCGAAACGGTTTCAGGTTGACTCTCGGAGCAATTTGGTTAGCCTTCTTTGAAGACAACAAAGAGCAGTAGCTCAGAGAACAAGATTTATACCCGGGACACATGACATGCTCAACACTACAATAATCAGCCCTCAATCACGCAGAACTGCACATGCGCAGGCGCCGACTTGCTTTTCGCCGCTGCAAGCTCTTCTGATGCCAGCTTGACAACAGCACCTGGGCCAAAGAACGAGCACGCGCTGGCAACCCCCCTGCAGAAAAGAAGTCTCATGGCCGGGGCACTGCAGCGGTTCAAATGAAGAGTTTTGAAGCTCATATCTCGATGTGCTACGACCAGGCTGCAAGGAAAGGTCATCACCTGTGATAAATGGTGCTATCAAACATGCTAAAATGAGCAAAGCTACACGACGTATGCAACTTGTCCCAGCGTGGTCTGTATGATAGATGGTGAGGAAATGCCCGTTGTACATCACAGCACTCTGTGCACGCATACCTACTCTGACTCGCAACCGCTGGATGGTCTTGCTAGGATTGATAGCGCGTGAGTGTTTGCGAGCACCTTATGCGGTCTTAAGGTTACTGACGGAATGTCGTGCTGTTCTTCCGAACATCGGGCTTCACTCCTTCGGAAACGTTGACAAGCATGTTCAACGGATGAAGTCCTTCCAGCTGCAGGTTTGCCTCGTTGGACTGATCCAGGAAGATTGACTCCATTACCTCGCAGACGCCCTCAAAGTGCTGCTCGGCATGGTGAAGAAGATCTTCATGCCATCGTACTTGCTCTCCTTGCTGGTATGATGTAGAGGCACTGCGTACACAAATCAGCTTGTTTTATGTGCTCTTGGGGCACGGCGATTCCGGCGTTGACAGCTTCGGAAACTTAGAGAAAAAGATGTCAACCACTGAGAAGCATCCATGGCTCACCCTGCAAGGCCTGTGACAAGAAGCATGCAAATTCGTATGTTGACGTCATGCGTAATTGCTGCTGTAGTCTGTCCAACTAAGCCTAACCTGCATGACTTGACATAAAAGGTGACCGCCTTCTCACATTTGAGGTTCAACAAGCACTCAGTTGGAAATCCGGAAGGGGATCACAGTGTCGTGATCGCTTTTGGACAGCAGAATTTGCTGGGCAGGTCTTGGAATACGACGCAAGCCGGATATTTCTGACGCTCCCAATCTTTTGTCTGCGCATGAACTCATGTAGCCAAAAAATCTTATCGGTAGAGGCCATTGTTGATGCGGTCGATGAAGTAAGCAGGGCTGGCTGGCAAACAAACCAGATTGCCCTCATACTTCTTCGCAATGT